GATTTCCGGTGCAAAATTAAATTGTAGCACTATTTAGATAATAGATATCCGTCTCAATTATTTTTGGAACAACTTTCAGAGAGACGCTAAATATAATTTTACTAGAGCGTATTTTGATCTAAATATTTATGATGACTCGTAGTCGTAGGTATTTATAGAGCGTATTGGTTGTCTTGTCCCTAAAATAATGCCACACCCATTCTTATTGTATTTTCACGTACACCTGTACATTACCATCTGAATTCGGAGCACGCATCCCATTACTTAATCGGGGCGAAACAAAAGGACACGTTATTGCAAAACGAAGAAACTTTGTATCCGAGCACTCGCAACTTGGCTCATTAGCGACCGAGGCAGAGGAACAAATACATCGCGACCAAGTTCTATTCAAGAAACTTTGATCAAATAACCTTTTTCTCGGAAAAGATTAAGGAACCCAAGGGAAAAGTTGCGGTCCACCACACATCAATAGCTGATAAAAATGGGGCTTTAGTGGGGCTTAAGTAACACAAGCAGAAAATGCTATTGGGTATTACATTAAATAAAACTATCTTGAAAAAATTCAGCAGTTTTTCGTAGAGGGAAATTTCTTTCACATTCAGTTGACAGTAATGGTGAAATTCATTATAATATTTCATGAGCTGTAACTAATTTATTCATTTTTATAATAATTTTATAATAATACATTAACTTAAAATTACTTAAAAGCTCTAACTATAAAATAAATGAAAAATATTAAATACTTACCTACCCATTTTAAATATGCTTACCTTGACGAGCCGTCGTCTGCACTTATATTTTCCTTAATTTATGTATGAATAGAAAAGGCTAGAAAAGGTAAGTGGGTAACATATTATGTGAAAATTGTAGCTAACTTCAGCACATATCAGTCCCTACAGTAAAATCTTAGTCCAAATAGGTACTTGGACTAAGATTTTTGAATTTTCTTGAATCTAAAACTTTGATCAAGGTACATATTTATAACATGCACCGCCCGACGTTTATTAAGGAAGTTCAAAAGAAATCCAATCTGAATAAAAAGATTTGAATTCGACTTCTGGAAACTGCAATCCACGAGCAAATGCTTTCCCATTCTGGATGAAAAATTCAGGAATCCAATTATCTCCTGGTGCAGTACCAGTCCTACTCACTCTATACTTAGTACGAGTATACATATAATAGTATACAGATATTTTATGCATATTACACATAACGAAACCCGTTTGGCAAGACTAAATACCCTTAAAAGGCTGACAATAGTGAGCTAGACAAGAGTGAGTTTCTGGCGCTGCGTCTTTTCAGCACTGGCCCATTTATTGTCCCAAAGCAGTGGTAGGGTTAATACTGGGACGTGTAAAAGTGATTTTTAAAAGCCTACTTGCTTAAATAAATGAGTGTTATGAGTTTTTCAAGCGTGGGAGTTGCAATCAATCTAGGCCTACAATTTTGGTGTTAGAGCCAAATTCTTCATTTCATCATCATGTCAAGGACAGAAAAAAGTAATTTAAAATAAAAGAATAAAACGTCACCTTTTCCGTCAACCGAAGAAAAATATGGTTTCATTTGCTCTCTTCTAATACGAATTATTATGCAGAATCATTTGGTGACCCTTATGAAGACGCATTTTCTCATGATGGAGTCTTATTTGGCCGTGTAGTCCAGCGTCCAGCTCGAAAATCCGAAGATTCTCGGAAAATACCAATCAAGGAGGGCGGAGGACACGCGCGGCGTACCAACGGTTGTTGAATTCACAACTTCTACGAAAATTCTGCTAAACCAACGTTTGCTGTATTGGAAAACCAAATAGAAGGAAAATCACATCATCATCCATTTCAAAAACCACCAGTTTATTGTCATCATCTAAATTTTATGAGCAGTCAAAATGGAGAGTCGTGATTGTTTTGTAAGGCATTTCGATTTCTATTTCTGAAAAGGTCACCCATACGAATTAATGTTTTCTTATTTTTTTGACACAGCCGAAAGTGAAATAAAGGCACGCGAAACAAACGACACTTAAAGAAAATATCCTTAGATGTAATTGTCTTCGTAATAATTGTTTCAGCGAAGGAAAATTATGAAAATTCAATTACACAGCGATTCTTAAGTCAGCAACAATTTTATTGTGTTACAAAAGCTTTTTGTTTTTGTTAATAATTATTTGAGTTGGGAGTGGAGACTGTCTGGGCTGTAATAATTAAATCAAAAAGTACGTTATAATTTTTTTTTGCTTGGGGCATTTTTATAATAACGTCCGATAGAATATTATATTTTTGACAAATTGACAGTTATTGTACAGAAAATGTGTCGAAACGTCAATTAATTTCACAGATAAATATTACCTAGATTAAAATTTCGGCTCCTACTAGGAGCCTCCTAGTGAAATTATCGAACATTTACAATTTAATATGAATACAAACAAACGAAATGTGGTATTAATGATTTTGCTTTACTACTTCTTTATTTAACCATGTCTTAATGAGAGAGACAACATAAATAAACAGAAATAATTAATTAAAATTTACTTGCTGTTCTATTCTTAAGTTATCTTTATTGGTTGTTGTTGTTTCAGCCAAATTATGACGTCCACTGCTGGAAAAAGGCCTCCCCCAAGGTTTTCCATAATGAACGGTCCTGCACTGCTCGCGTCCAGGCTCTTCCCGCGACCTTTACCAGATCGTCGGTCCACCTAGTAGGAGGCCTGCCCACGCTACGTCTTCCAGCCCGTGGTCGCCACTCGAGAACTTTCCTGCCCCAAAGGCCATCGTCTCTCCACTGCCACTTGATTTTAGCAATTCTGCGAGCTATGTCGGTTACTTTGGTGCTCCTGCGGATCTCCTCAATAGAATAATAAAGTAACTCCATTCTTATTTTTTTGCATGTATAATATTATAAGCGAGGCATAAATTGGTCATACCATTTTTCAATGGCATCTCCTAATTTAAAACTCGTGTCTTTCCTAAATATGGTCTAGTATCGCCAGGCAATTTGTTAAATAACGCTTAAAACTATGGCATGTAAACATCTGTCATGCTACGACTATTAAAAATCTAATGCCCGTTTTCACCATCAATCCCTAATTTTTAAGTGACCCCTATGTAAACAAAATTCCTGTTATTTGTTATCATAGGGGTCACTTAAAAATTAGGGATAGATGGTGAAAACGGACATAAGTCATTTATTTTATTCTACCATTCAGTAAAATAATAATATAAGCTGGTATGACTCACAATTGCTTTTAAAGTGGTACTGAATCTTTTAGTTACTCAGATTCAAGTCAGCACTGGCCCATTTATGGTCCCGAAGCAGTGGTAGGGCTACTGGGACGTGTGAGTGCTTTTGAAAGCCTACATGCAGAAATAAAATTGGTTTTAATGAGATTTAAATGGCCTATTTTTAAGTACGGAGTTTACATTCCAATAAGTAACAAATAATTGTATAAAAACCATACAAAGTGCCTTCAAAGTAGGCACGTTTCTACAATCTCGTACCAACTCTCGATAGCTGTTCCTCTCGCACTCGCCAGCAGATGAACATGTGTGACAGAGACAAACAAAGCTAGACGGACGTTATATGGTGACATGATGAGTATTTACTAGAGCTCCTAACTAACTTTAGGTACTCCTCTTGCATAAATATTGCTCTTCCATTACCACCATTAGCAGTTCCAACCCTCTTATTTGTTTAGGACATTGGTTCCCAAAGTGGGGGGTGCGCAAAAAACTTTAAAGGGGGGCGCGGGCCATCTGTGTTCGTTCATTTGTTTCAGCTAAATGATGTCCACTGCTGGACAAAGGCCTCCCCCAAGGTTTTCCACAATGAACGGTCCTGCGCTGCCCGCATCCAGGCTCTTCCCGCCACCTTTGCCAGATCGTCGGTCCACCTAGTAGGAGGCCTGCCCACGCTACGTCTTCTAGCCCGTGGTCGCCACTCGAGTTTCCTGCCACAACGGCCATCGTCTCTACGAGCTGTGTGCCCCGCCCACTGCCACTTAATTTTAGCAATTCTGCGGGCTATGTCGGTCATCTGTGTACTTAAGTATAAAAACCTGCGACCACTGAGAGAATGCATCCCAGACTGCTCAATACGACCAATAAAATTAAATAATCTTGACTGAAGGTGGAGGGGCGTGGAATTTTTTGTATGGTCTAAAGGGGGCGCGTCTCGAATAAGTTTGGGAACCAATGGTTTAGAAGTTACGTTATCTTGCCTTTGTTTTCATTACCGCGGGTATTTTCATTTGTTTGTGACTTTTTGTGGAAATTAATTATGATAATCAAGTTTCAGGAGAATTCGAATGAATATAAAGATGGCGAAATTTTGAACAGTCATTTAAGTCGTTGAAATTATATTTACATGCAAAAGTGTAAACATCCTTGTTTATCTGAACTTTTAATAAGCAACTTTCAACGTAATGTGAAATATGTAAATCATTTTGTTATTTCAGAAGTCTAAGTGCGTGGTAAATTGATAATTATTTGAACACTACCTTCTTTGGCGTGATCATCACTTTCCATTAGGAGCCACGGATATACTTGGGGGATAAATGTTCCTTTTAACCCAGATTCTATGTGTTGCAGCAATGTTTCTGTTCTGGATTGTCTCTCAGTGTTTCGAGATGCAAGCCAAGAGCTTCACTGTAGTGGGAAAATCACTTGAAAATCTAAAAGTATGACAGAAATCAAGTTTAAGTATTAGGTATCTAAAACAGAATTATCCTTTAGTCTGCTATCTCGTGACGTCACTCGCTATTATAATTAGGTACAGTATTATCAATCGATGGTGACAGCTAACTGCCAGTTAAGCAGTTATGTGGGCGGCTATTACCTCGCAGATAGGCCTGTCGCTTGATTAATATTCGGCAATTCGGGCACTAAGCACTGTGGCGACACCACANCCGTTTTCAAAATAAATGTTCATTGTAATTTGGAGTCAGCCTTTAATTGACCACACATAGCCCCTCTCAACAGTGGTGACCCCTACCGAACACATCATACATCAAAATGAACACAAACCCTGAGGGACGGCTGCCACAAGATCCTGCAGCTGTACCACCTACTGTCATCTCGGTGCTGCAAGAAAAACCAGAGCTGTCTGGAGTTTCGGTTGGCCTCAGAATCCCGCCAATTTGGAGAGACAAACTCAGAGGATGGTTCGCGCACTTCGAAGCCATAATGAAATCACAGAAGAAAGGCGATCAAGCAATGTACGAACTAGTACTAGGCCAGCTGGAGCGACAAGACGTCGACGAAATATACGACATTTTGCTACGTCCGCCAGAGGAAAACAAATACAACGCCATCAAACAACGCTTACTGCAAGTTTATGAAGATTCCGAGCAAAAAAACGTGCAACGTGTCATCGCCGGTATGGAGCTCGGCGATTTGAAACCATCGCAGCTGCTACGAAGAATGCAAAACCTCGCTGGTGATCACCTGTCTGCAGTCACGCTTCGTGCAATGTGGCTCAATCAACTGCCAGCCTATGTGAGTTCGATCATTGCTATCAGCGAAAACACCAGCCTCAGTGAAATTGCATTAATGGCCGATAAAATGATGGACCTACACACACAGCGAGAGATATCAGCCATTAATCATCGTCAACATCTACCCCCTGCTGCGCAACAACAAGAAGTTTTCGCCATCGACCGTCCGCACTCATCATCTTCAAGATACAACGCGTTAGAAGACAAGATCGACAAGCTTACAGAAGCTATTACGCAACTAGTGACGCACAATAACCAACGAGGACGTTCGCCCTATCGAAACTGGAGACAGAATCGGCAAACATCTCGATCGAACAGCCGTAACCGAAGCCAGACGCCCAGCAACTCGCCGTACTGCTACTATCATCGCAAGTTTGGCCACAACGCAAGAAAATGTGCAGACAATTGTACATTCATGAAGAAAAATTTGCCGGAAAACTAGCATTAGCGTTGGCAGAGACGGGCACCAGCGCTAGAGTTCAATCACACCGTCTTTTCGTTACCGACAAGAAAACAAAACTGATGTTTTTGATCGACATCGGTGCGAACATCTCCGTCATTCCCAAGAGAAGTAGCCAGCAAATGAAACCTACAACGTTCAATTTGTATGCAGCTAACAACACTATAATACCTACCTACGGTGAGAAGACGCTCGAGTTGGACCTTGGCCTACGTCGTCCATTCAGATGGAAATTCATCATAGCCGCCGTCAGCAAACCGATAATTGGAGCTGATTTCTTAGAATATCACAAGATACTCGTAGATATTGCGGGTAGAAGCCTCAGAGATGAAGTCACAAACTTATCAGTGAAGACAAAGATTTCAAACTACCCTACACCAACAATTCGAAGCATCGACAGCAGTCAGAAATATCACGATATATTAGCTGAATTTCCTGAAATAACTCGGATATCAACAATGAAAGAAACACCGAAACACTCATGTCTATAGTGTTTGCTCAATGTTGATTTAGTCGATTTTCTCCTGAAATGAACATGTAAGACAACAATAAAATTTCCAATTTTACAGACCTTCTAGAGCAGATGCCGCAAAAACTATACAAGATATAGAAAAACCTGACGATCTCACCTGTAGCAAATTGAATAAGCTTTTTTTGGTTCATAGTAGTCATGGCACTAGGACGCATAGTGTCCGAGGATTAACCGAAAAACCGAAAAGTGGTACCTTTAAACCCCCCTCTCCCCGCCGGCTCAAGAGCTAAGGGCGGGGACTTTTGCTATGTTCACCACCTAACTAGGCTAAATAAAGTCCCGAGGTCAGAAATTGTGTTCCACGGATTTCTCTCTACACCGTCGTTAAGGCATTCATTGACTGGACTACCATCTTATTTATATTTGTGTAGTGTGAAATAGACATACTGTTCTCCTTCTGTCTCGCTCTGACCGTTCATTGTAATTTGGAGTCAGCCTTTAATTGACCACACATAGCCCCTCTCAACAAGCACCAGTACAGGGCATGTGGGTCTAAGGAGAATATAGCTAAACTAGCGGCCGCCCGCGACTTCGTACGCGTGGATCCCGTTTTATCCCCTTAGGGGTAGAGTTTCGTTAAAATCTTTCTTAGCGGATGCCTACGTCATAACATCTACCTGCATGCCAAATTTCAGCCCCATCCGTCCAGTGGTTTGGGCTGTGCGTTGATAGATCACTAAGTCAGTTAGTCAGTCAGTCAGTCAGTACCTCAGAGTGTCCTTTGAGTTATAATACAGTGTGAGTCACGTTAAAGTGTTCATATGAAAATAGATGAAACTAGACCTATTTTTATCGACAAAAAAAAGGTCAAAATTTTTTTTAGATTTTTTTTAAATTTTTTATAGATTTTTTTTTTTCCAATTACTTATTGTAAAGAAAACGTAATAACTTTTAAACTAAGCGGTATATCATGATAATATAAAAACAGTAATAATGCTAAATAACAGGCGATACTAAAAAAATACATAAAATACCCTCAAAATGCCAACAAATAAAAATAAAAGATACTTTTTGAAAAAAATCTGCTTAAAAATTCGTATTTTTTTGGTTATTTGATAAATTTCTCCAAAAAATGCCCCATTAACAGGTGGTTTTTATTACTTTTTATTATTCTCCATCGTATTACTTTTGTAAAACCAAAAACCGCATGTCTCTATCCCTATCACAACGTTTGCAATGATCGTTTGAACAAAGCCTCTACGGGCGCACCATTCAACGCTTTGTTAACAACGAAACTGAAAATGGCTCTAGATTTGTAATTTTGATAAAGACAAGTTAGATTTCAAATAAAAACAAAAGATTTCGAAGTAAAATAAGCATTTTAGTTAAAATTAAAATTGTCTCTACCTGTAGCGGAGAATAATGTTGTGGCAGGCCTGTGTTCAAACGATCATGGCAAATGTTGTGATAGGGATAGAGACATGCGATTTTTGGTTTTACAAAGATAATACGATAGAGAATAATACAAAGTAATAAAAACCACCTGTTATAGGGGCATTTTTTGGAGAAATTTATCAAATAACAAAAAAAAACACGAATTTAAGCAGATTTTTTTCAAAAAGTATCATTTTTTATTATTTGTTGGCATTTTTTGTTTATTTTATGTATTTTTTTAGTATCGCCTGTTATTCAGCATTATTACTGTTTTTATTTTATCAGGATATACCGCTTAGTTTAAAAGTTATTACGTTTTCTTTACAATAAGTAATTGGAAGAAAAAGAAATCTATAAAAAATTAAAAAAAAATCTCAAAAAAATTTTGACCTCTTTTTTGTCGATAAAAATAGGTTTAGTTTCATCTATTTTCATATGTACACTTTAACGTAACTCACACTGTATATTTAGATATATGGTGTCCTCTGTAGTTACTCCATAGAGTAGGTACTATATAATCTTACAATTTAACAAATATATTAACACACAAACTTTACCTCTTTACAATATTAGTATAGATTTGTTAATTTCTGTATGAGCCATTGAAAGTAAGTTTTCCTGTATAATTAATTCCCTTAAATAGGTACCTATTTAAAAGGCACCCCATCTTACATTAATCAACGTAAGATATTGACCTTTTATCTTACATAGTTAGGTACTTTTTACTTTATTTAACATTTGGCTGCGAGTTTTCCCGCGTAGTATTCTCAAAAAATTCACGAGTAATTACAAAAACGTACACGTAGGATTTCCATTCCAATTAACTGCAACTTCATACAAATAACTAAATGGCAAGCAATTAGAAACGTTCCAGGTATTCTCTAATTCTCACAGGTGGCAACGTCTACTCTCTCAATTTAGTGTTATTTAATTACACACACGTTTGAGAATTGGCCCCGAAAACTCGTGTTTCAACTCTGAGGGAAAATAACCCATTTGCTTAACAAATTAAGGGTTAAAATTGTATGGACCGGAACAGAAGCGTTTGTCCGCTCGCTTTGCTACAGTGAGGTTAATTTGTATTTATAGTAAGAGCAACAACGTTAAGTGGGTGTGCAAAAAGTACTCAAACAATTTGTAAAGATATCTAGTGTATTATTATTTGGATGTCGTTGATCTTCGTTATAAAAGAATGGCGGTTTCTGCGACAATATTAAGGCTGAGTTGCACCACCTAACTTTAACCGTAACTACGATAACCGGTGTGTTTAGTATGGAGTGTGGCGACAGATTTTTGACGCGTTTTAAAGCTAAAATAAAACAACACAGCCTAACAGTTTTATCTTTTGCTTACTTTTAGTTTTTGCGCTAAGTTTTTGTGTTGATGAACAATTGCACTTAATTTCGTCAATACGATGATTAATTACTTCCCAAAAAAGGATGATATTCCAAAATGAATGTTAGCAACAATTCAAGATTAAAGGAATGGTGCCGAGCGCTTAATAGATAATAATTAATTCTCACGCGAATTACTTGTTAAACCACTTGGAAGTAGTAAGTAGTTACTATGAGTAGACAAGCTATTCAGAATGAAAATTGACACCGTAAATATGCAGCCCGACTTATGTCCGTTTTCACCATCACAATCCCTAATTTTAAGTGACCCCTATGAAAATAAAATTCCTGTTATGTGTTACCATAAGGGGTCACTTAAAAAGTAGGGATTGATGGTGAAAACGGGCATTACTTACCTAAAATATACGTAGTCCCAGTTTCAATGATCAATGAATAAGTAAGTATGTATCATCGAAAATCAACCAGATTCCACTGTTTTCCCTCCTATTCCTCCATACTTAAGACTCTTAGGCCCGATTCGACCAAAATTTTATCCTAGAATAACTCCTGGTATAACTGGCACAATGACAGTTTCAGTATGGGAAATATTATATCAAAACTGACGGTTTATTCTGAAATTAATATTTACTCTTGTTTGGTCGAATCCACCCTTAGACAGATATCTTAACGTCACATAAACGAATAGAGAACTTTTGCCTCTTCGTACTTAACGTAAAGATGACGTATTCTTGTTTTATCTAGAGCCACTTGAACCACAAAGCCGAGTTTCCGACAACTTGTTGCGGACGGATGACGTAGCATCCTAGTTTGATACGTTTCTGACGCCTTGTTAATCCCGGATTAACACCACATTCGAATGGTGTTGATAAAGCCGGCCCTTTTGCTTTTCGCGACAAGATTTCTGGTTCTTCGCGGGAGTAGGTATGAAGCCGTGGTTGCCGATTTTGTTTTGTTTTCTAAAGAGTGTTTAGCCGAATATTAATTAATGTTGTTAGCCGTGTGGTTTCGGCAAAATAGAATAGGATCGCCGCCACTCTTCGCGTGGTTGTCGTAAGAGACAACTAAGGGAACGTATATGCGAACATCGTGCATGGTCTCCCCAACCTGTATGGTTGAAGGGGAGTGTAGGCTAAATCCTTCTGTTTTGCCTCGGGTTTTATAGAGGCTAGTGTAGGAAAATTAAACAAAATAGTACGATTCCAGTTAGGTACTCTTTTTTATGTCTTTGTGATTTTCCTGTACATTTTCCTTTACTGCAAATTAAAAAAACTAAGCGTGCTTAGTACAATTGAACAGCACTAATAACAACGGTGATTGTGATGGACGGATATGATTAAGACTCACAGAACTCATCAGCTCATCTGATTTTTCATGGTTTCGTCTCTACAATGATTTTGCAGATTTTTTGTGGTCATAGACAAAGAAAGAAACATCAAGCTAAAAAAATTAGTATCTTATAGAGTTAGTTGTACGTACGTAAATACTATTTTGCAATATATGTGTACCTACCTACAGTGACGGCTACTAAGTACACAATAACACAACACATTGTAACTAACGGACTTTATATTCCGCCTAGTTAAAAAACTGCAAAAAAAATTCGAAGGTCTTACGGCTTCTAAACATGTTTACTTAGTTCCCAAATAAGGCATTAAACAGTAAAAAGGACACATAAAAAACTAACAATATTTTCTATCTTCCACCATCAAGGAATCCACATAACGTTAAACTTATTCATGCTGCATATAGAGTTGTTTACAAGCCGTCTGCTTCTATCGGATTAAGGGTGCTTGGTAAGTAAATAAGGAAAAATATGCATTACTACCCACACTGGATGATAACAACGTACATAAGTGCTAGGAAAGTAAACAAGACGCTCAGGTTTAGACATTGGGGCCATGGTTAAAATGTAAAGTTAATATTCCTTCGGAATAGAGTAACAACCACGAGCTGTCAAACGAAACCGATTTTGGATGACACTGGATACTAATATGTAATTTGTGACTGAACCACTATTTCTCATAAACATCCACGACATCCAAAACAAAATTGCCTTTCCTAACTTATTTCGATAGTCAGCTTCAAATTTTATTTTACGATTTTCTTTTGTTTGGCCAACATTTTGTTAGTTTTTTATGATTATACGAGTCACATGTTAAAGTTTCTGTAATATGGTTATAAATGGTATTGACTTGTTTATAATACCTGTAGTGCCTGATTATTTTTTAAT